TTCAAGCAAGGAATACGCCTCTGAAAGGATGCCGCTTACTTTTGAATCACCCTGTATTTTCTTGGCTATATGTGATACCACATAGAACACTTAAATTATCTTTCTTATATCTAATGATGTGAAGAAATACCTGATGACGAAAATTTGCAATAGCCATCTCAGGAATTGATTATGAAAATTATCGATTCGAAATTTGAACACCCTGTTGTTCATTATTTGAAAATCTAATAGTAATTCTCATGTAATTCTAGTTAAAATAGCCCTATTTCTCACTTCTACCTACGGCTATGAACGGTTTGACAAATAATCTAACCCTCAAAATTTTTTCTGACAATCATTGATTCTAGGGGAATTGAAAAGACAGAGCTCGATATATATGTCTTATTCCTTTATTCAATCATCAATGCATTTTTTGAAAACAGAAAAGGACAGAAGTATAGCTGTGTCCGGACTCTTGTCTAAGGTGTATACAGGGACTCTAATAAAATCGGCCTCGTCAATCGTTAGCACAAATTCAATCTGACCTGAAATGAAATGAGGCATCTATAATCTAGAGAGGTACTAGAGACAGGACGCAAAAAGACGTGCCAAACAAAATAATCCATGAAGAAACAAGTTTACAGAAAATTTCCGGCCGAGAACTGCCTTCACAGTTTTTTCCAGATTCATCACTTCGAAAAAAAAAAGAGGGAGGATTAAACCATTAAATGATCATTTGTTGAAAGATTGTCAATCGTCACCATAATGTATATTTTCGATGAAAAATATCATCAAAAGTTGAATTAGTCTTTCCTAAACAATATGTGACTCAATTTCACTTTCGTGGAAGAATACTATGGAGACACTCATTCTATATAGGAGTGATCGATTATTCTTCCTCAAGATGAAATAGGTACTGGAATTCGGAGGTTTCAACACCATATGAATAATTTTCAATGTTGATGATATCATCAGGTTTGAGCGTGGTTTGAGCATGATGTTTGAGCCATCGGTTTTGAATAAAAAAGCTTTTCAAGGGAGGATTATTTGTAGTGGACTCGATCATCCTTATGGTGCCACCTAGTGACCTGCTAGTAATAAATATTGTAGTATACACTTTCCTGCAAACTTCCTGCTATCGAAATAGGGACAGAATAGTTCATCAAGTTACTACTAGATGGCGAAACTTATGCCATAAATCCCAAAAGCTCCATATATTTCCATAGATTATGAATTTCCTGTTCTGAGGGCCGAAATAAATATGCCAAATGTGGGAAAATAACTTTATTCTATTCGAAAAACATTCACAGACATCCCCAGCCGGCCAATTTCAATTTTTGCAGCAACAGAGGGCTGTTCAAGACGTCACTTCCGCATCCGCATCCGCATCCACCTCCGCATCCACCACCGCAATGTTTGCAGCACCATTTGGCCTTGATCTTGCTGATGACTCCCAAAGTTGGAGTGATGGCTATGGAGGGTGCGCATGCTGGGAGGCAGGGTGGGGGACAAGGTGGGGGGCAGGTTGGGGGGCAGGTCGGACGGCAGACTGGGCGGCATGGTGGTGGATAAGCTGGGGCACAGCATCCACTGTGAACCAATGGATCCAAATAGAAGGGCTCCTGGGAAACATAGAGAAAATATCGATCAGATAATAATAATAATCATGATTAAGGTGTCATATTCGAAATTCTGTTCGTTATAGTGTATTATATAACAAGAGTTGTTGAACGCATAATACGCACGAAGTGGAGTGAGTTACACACGATGTCGCGATGCGTAATTGTTTTACAACTCGAGAAATGTTCTATACTTCTTCCACTACTACACCATACTTCACACAGTAGACACAAAATAAATATCGAATACTTTGAGCTAGAGGTCAGAAAGTATCGATACTCGTACTTCGATACTAAACGCATCGAAATAACGATGTATCGATACTTGGTATCGATACTCCGATACTTTGTCCAGTATCGATATATCGATTCTACAAAATAGATCATTTTATCAATCATCAATCGTCAAAAAGTCAAAAGTGTCACTGCCCAACATTCAAATGTAGCATAGGAGCAATTATTGTATTGCTCTGAAACTGATTATAATAGAAAAGGTTTATACAGTGCGTTCATAAAGTGTGGAAACGCTCCATTATCTTACGATATAATTATTTTCAGAGGTAAAGCTCGGACAGGTCGATTTTGTATTTCAGTCTTCCATCTTTTTTTACAAAAAAATTATTTTTTCCCTCACCACCTTACAAGATATATATGACGTCATCGATATTTTTTTTAAATTGAAAGGGTATATTTTTATATCAAAAATTGAAAGCCCATATTTTTCTGAGTTCAACCATACCACATACGTCATATCTTACACTTCAAGTTACAGTATACTGAGTATAAAAGAAACCAGTGTTCATATTTCTCAACATTCATTTAATTATTTATTTGCAATGAAAATATCATAAGAAGTAGTGAAAATAAACAAATAACACATCTCAGTTCGAGCATTTGCTGTAGATTTGTTATTTGTTTATTTTCACTACTTCTTATGATATTTTCATTGCAAATAAATAATTAAATGAATGTTGAGAAATATGAACACTGGTTTCTTTTATACTCAGTATACTGTAACTTGAAGTGTAAGATATGACGTATGTGGTATGGTTGAACTCAGAAAAATATGGGCTTTCAATTTTTGATATAAAAATATACCCTTTCAATTTAAAAAAAATATCGATGACGTCATATCTTGTAAGGTGGTGGGGGAAAAAATTATTTTTTTGTAAAAAAAGATGGAAGACTGAAATACGAAATCGACCTGTCCGAGCTTTACCTCTGAAAATAATTATATCGTAAGATAATGGAGCGTTTCCACACTTTATGAACGCACTGTATATACATGTAGATATATCCTAAACTGTGAATTCTATGCATAGATCAGATTTCCAAACCGAAGGTGACAGTTGTCATTCGGCAAATATAATGTCATCTGACAGTATCGATACAAAAAAAATGTATCGATACTTCTATACCCGTCTTTGTATCGATATATCGATACTTAGTATCGATACTCTCCGACCTCTACTTTGAGCTTAGTACATGAAAAGGTAAAAATTACAATTCAACAATACAACTACTTTCCTGGCTATATGTCACGACGAACTTTGAATTACATACTATATTGAACACACACAATAAGAATTTGAGAATAAAATCTTCTGAATAAGTTGAAAATTTGTTTTCTCCTGCAGATACATATACATATATAAGGTGTCCGAAAACAACATACCATGAATTCTACTCGGTGAACTAGAGACCAAATTAGGCCGATTGTAATCAACTTACCTCCATAGGAAAATACACCGTTGAGCCAATCAGTTAATCAATCAATACTGTGCCGTGAGATGGCGATTAAGAACAATTTTTTTTTCAAGATTTTCTTTAATATTTCGAAATCCTTGAAATGTACTGCTCTAAAATTCGTATGGCAATTCACTATAGTGAATGTGCATGGAAAACATGTCAGTTCAATCAATATACAGGGAGTTAGGTAGGGAGTTATTTCAAGATTTTCTTCAATATTTCGAAATCCTTGAAAGGTACTGCTCTAAAATTCGTATGGCAATTCACTATAGTGAATGTGCATGGAAAACATGTCAATTCAATCAATATACACGGAGTAAGGTATATTGATTGAATTAGTATGACATATTTTCCATGAACATCCACTTTAGTAAATTGCCCTACGAATCTCAGAACAGTACCATCCAAGGATATCGAAATATTGAAGAAAATCTGGAAATGAAATTGTTCTCCCTCTCTCGTCAAACAGTGCATTTCCATAAAGAGGTAAGTTGATTTCAATCAGCCTACTCTAGTTGGTAGTGCATTTTGTATGGTATGTTGTTCTGGTACACCTTGTATAGTTTCATTCGGAATATACAACAGAAAACAACTATTTTCCTGGCTATTTACCCCGTCGAACATAGAATTACATTCGTTGAAAACCAAATGATTAGAATATGAAAAGAAAAATCTGAAATTGAGAATTGACATTTTCTTTCGACTAGGCAAATTTTTTTTAGGGATCTGGCATATTTTCGCTTCTTAATCATTCTGGTGGTGCGTTACTGGTAGATTTTGAAATATGGAATGAGTTATGTGTTGTATTTCCTTTGTTTTTTCAATTTTTCTGTCTCTTGTAATTTTTACGCATCTGCGACCGTTGTCGAGAAAAAAAATAATTTTTTATAGTTCGCTAGATTTCATTGAATTTTTTAATAAAAGGAAGAACCATTTATATCAATGGAAACAAAACAACGTTATAAATTTTTTTTGTAATATTAATTACAAGTTTCCTAACATTACCTGAAGCAAAAAAATCTAATGAACCGAACTTTTTACAAAAGGTGCTAGAAAATAAAAAAAATTTGAAACTTCAACGCTCTGTAGATCGGTTACGAAGCGTTTGCGAACACATTCATAGAAGAAAAACACTTTTTTTGACCTGAAAAATGAGTCCCTGAAAACTTGATACCTAATTTTGAAAAACCCTGTATAGACTTTTTTCTTAATTTTTTTCTCAGGAATTGATACGTTATTCAAATATTTCAACATACTTATGTTACACCTTGTAGATATAGATATCGAAAATATACTCACAACAAATATTGCCATGCTCAGCACTGCACCAAGAATTGCTAAGCTGAACCCCTTCATTGTTATTTGGATGTCAAAAATCTTTTGATGTAATTGGATTCCAAAATATTCCTTTTATATTAAATGATCGAATGTTGATAATTTTGTTACAAACGTGAACGCTGGGAAAATAGGAACTTGAACTTGAAAATTTGTTTACATTGTGAAAAGTTCGTTGACAGCATTCTTTGCGTGATATTCCGCCTGCAAATAGAAATTTCACTAGCACATTTCGCACTATTCAATTTCCTTGTTCCTAGGTCTCCAATCAATTTTTACGTCGTTGCATCAAACTCAGTAATAGAAATAATATTAATCTTCGTGTTTTGAGTTTTTATTGTGCTACAAATTTGATGAAAATTAAAAATTATTCCATTGTTTTTCGTTCAGTTATCAGAGTCAAGTCAATCAACAAATGTTTCTTCTCAAGGCAAAAGATAGTAGTTAGATATGTCTCCGTAACTAAAGACTATAATATTCACTGAATATTACTGTAGGCATTACGATGAAAATAATATAATAGTGGACTATTCAATTTCTCTATACAAACATAAGTTCACCTTAAAAACTATCCAATTTATCTTTTATGATTTTCTTTCATGGCATATTTTTTTGATCCCTCGGCGTGTTTCAATTCCTCCATAAACTGATATAACGACATTTGGCTACCGGAAGAAATATCTGATTCGACATCTATTTCGTTATTCCTAGTTTGATTCTCAGATGGAAAATAATCATGCAATTCTTCTTCTTCTTTAGACTCATCCACTGGTTCTTTTTTCAACAAACTTTCGAAAATTTTGCAAGCGCTGTCCAAGATTTTTGACGAAAAACCATTTTTGAAACCATTTTTATGCCCATTTGCCAGCGCTTCTTTATTCAAACCGTTCTTCATACCGTTCAAAAGTTTCACTCCATTCTTTTCTTTAGACGATCTATCTTTCTGAGGTAGGGCTGTATTTTCACGAATATCTTTCTTCACTCTATGATTTCCTTTCTTTTCCACAGTATCCATAACGACTTTTAAAGTTCTCTTTACTCCATTTGTTTCATCTTGCTTCATTTTCACTGTGCCCTGAATCAATTCCAACTTCTTTTTCAACTCCTCATTTCTCTTTTCGATTTCCTTCCTCTTATGAATCTCCAACTGTAACTTTGAATTCAATTCTAGAACCTTTAATTCACTACTCCTGTCCATTTTCTTCTGGACATTGTCCACCGTCTTGGACTTCCTTAGAGCTTGATCTATATTGAAAGTACTCGTCTTCAAAGAGGTTTTGACTGGTGCTGATTTTGTCTTGTGGATGTTGGTGGCGATTGAGAATTTTGAAGTTGACTCGTGTACAGAATTCCATGTTAAGGACATAGCAGTATTGCACCACTGGAACTCAGGCTGATACCCGAACTGTTGTTTGTCCCTTAGAAGCTGTAGTATCTTCTCAATGGTGGATATATAGAGAAGATCATTTTGTCTTAAATCAACGATTTCTAGAGATCTGTTGTACTGGATGACGTCTAAGATCTTTGCAGCTATGTTTTCAGAGATATTGCAGCGTTGGAGGTCCAAAGCTTTGATCCACAAATCATCTTCTAGCTCTTCCAGGATGTAAGTGAATCCTTCGTCACCGAAGTCCGAGTTACAGTTGATGGTGATTCTTTTTATGCCCCTCATAGTGCCAGACTGTGGGTTCTCGTACCTCAAAGAGTTATGCCAGCTTTCGCAGTACCTGTTGATTTGCTGGTACTTAATAAGTTTAGCAAGATGTTGCCCACTTTCGGCTGCTAGACCACAACCTGAGAGGTTCACAACTTCTATGTTAGGGGTGAATTTCAGGTAGGTACATACCAGTTGACAGCCAGCATCGTAAATCAAGCAATTTGCAAAAGAGAGGTGCTTGACAGTCTTGTTCTTCTTCAAGGCTTGGAGAAGGGGTTCTAGATACTGCCCAAACATAGGTAGTCCGTCTAGCTCTAAGCAGGTGAGTACCTGGGTGTTTCTGAGGGAAGTCGAGATCGATTTGAGTAGGATACGTAGGACGTAGGCTGTCCAGAGTGATCCAAAACGTCTTTTCATGTGCCTAGCTTTCTCTTCGGTGTCGATGTCGTGCATGAACTGACAGGGACCTACCCTACTTTTGATGCTGAGAACGTGAAGGCTGGTATCGTTCCTTAGAGCGTTCACGATGGGGTTCCATTCTTCAACTTTGAGACGGTCTGCGACGAACTCCAGGATTGTTTGGCATTTGGGTTTGGCTGGTTTTACAGCTGGCGCTGGGTTGCAGTTCAATCGTCTGCAAAGTTCTGTGTACCAAACGTAAAAGACATTTATCGGCTTCGGATTTGCTCTTGTCGCTGACTTGGCTGCATCCATACTTCGAAAATTGAAATTTGGGAAAGATTGCGAGAATTAGACGGTATAAAAAAACATTTTTTGTTGAAGTTTAAATACATAAAAATAGTCGTGACGTTTTGACACAACCTGAACAAAAAAACTTCAAGTCTCTGTCAAATTTGAACATATATTTTTTCGGATGTACTAGGTGTAAGTAGGTACCAAAACTTCAATTATTTAATTCGAAATAAGTATCTGCTGTTACCTTCCCTGCTAGAGAAACTTGGGGAATACAGACATCCTAAGAAGTTGGAGTCGAACATCATTTCTGTAGAGATTATTTGAATGATGAGAATCATCATTGAATTGGTAGATATCATGCATGCAGAATTTGAAAATTGGCTGCCAGAATATTACCTATCTGTTATGAAATCACCATATTTTATCATCATGCTGAATGATTAATGCAACTTTTATTTAATCGTTTCCGAAATGTAATAGAAAAATGAATTTGTTTTCTATTTGATAGCGGTATAGTTTGTAGTCATACAAAGTACATCAGATACAGATAAAAATGTCAAATTATGAAAGGGAGATTATACTCATAAATAAAGTCCGGATGACGTGTAATATTTTAGCACATTATTTCGAATGCTAATATACCGAACTGAAAATATTCAAGGTATTCACTTGTTTTCTGTCTGTAAACTGCGAGGTAAACTGTCAAGATTTTTTGATGATTATGGGTATTGAAAATGTGTTATGTTATAATTTCTTCATTTTGTTTGAGTTTCGTTCTGAAACTATCATGTATTTCTGGAAAACTGACGATATTATAATAAATTGAGCAAACTTTTTCAAATTATGCAAAAAAGGACAAATGGATGCCTTCAGAATACAGTGTGTCCCACTTATCATGCTCACCATGGGTATCTTTTTAACGGTGAGAGATACGAGGTCGGTTAAATGACACCAAATGTGGAGTTTGTCAAGGCCAACTATAATATGAAAAAATATTTTGATAAAATCTATTCGTTTCTGTTTTATACGCAAAAAACAGATTTTGATAATTTTCATGTCTCCTCTGTAACTCCTTCATTTATGAAAATATTCAAATAAGAATTCCACATTCTCATGGCAGTTTTTCAAAGTGATTTCGAAAAAAATATGAAATTTATACCAACTCTTCTAGAATTTGAGATATCAGCACCAACTTTGGTTTTTCAAATGTAGGTCATAGCTCACTATGACTTAGTAAGAAATAACTTTCTTTTCTCTTTCAGATGATGTGTCACAGTGATAGTTTTATGTTGATAACAACGGAGTTATCGTCATTTATAAAAAAACAAAAATTATTTGGAAGCCGCCATCTCGAATTTATGAATTTCAACAAAAAAATCATGATCTCCGACCTCAAAAACCCCCACATACCAATTTTTAATGGAATCGGACCAAATCTTGTCCGCCATCTTGGAGCAGCCATTTTTTTTTTTTCAACAAAAATTCCATAATGTATTTTCACCGGAATTATGAACACCTCCCAAATTTCTAGTAAATCGGAGTTATGGAATTTTTGTTGAAATTAAAAAAATGGCTGCTCCAAGATGGCGGACAAGATTTGGTCCGATTCCATTCAAAATTGGTAAGTGGGGGTTTTTGAGGTCGTAGATCATGATTTTTTTGTTAAAATTCATAAATTCAAGATGGCGGCTTCCAAATAATTTTTTGTTTTTATATAAATGACGATAACTCCGTTGTTATCAACACAAAACTATTACTGCGACATATAATCTGTAAGAGGAAAAAAAGTTATTTGTAACTGAGTCATAGTGAGCTATGACCGACATTTGAAAAACTAAAGTTGGTGCTGATATCTCAAATTCTAGAAGAGTTTATATGAATTTCATATTTTTTTCGAAATCACTTCGAAAAACTGCCATGAGAATGTGAAATTCCTATTTGAATATTTTCATAAATAAAGAAGTTACGGAGGAGACATGAAAATGATCAAAATCTGTTTTTTGCGTATAAAACAAAAACGAATAGATTTTATCAAAATATTTTTTCACATTATAGTTGGCCTTGACAAACTCCACATTTGGTGTCATTTAACCGACCTCGTATCTCTCACCGTTAAAAATATACCCATGGTGAGCATGGTAAGTGGGACACACTGTATTTTAGCACATTTCGATTGCTAATATACCTAACTGAAAATATTCAAGATATTCACTTGTTGTATGTCTGTAAACTGCGAGGTAAACTGCCAAGTTTTTTTGATGATAAAAGGTATTGAAAATGTGTTATGTTATACTTTCTTCATTTCGTTTGAGTTTCGTTCTGAAACTATCATGATTTTCTGGAAAAATTACGATATTATAACAAATTGAGCAAACTTTTTCAAATTATGCAAAAAAAGGACAAATGGATGCCTCCAGAATATATTGACAAACATTTTGAACGACAGTATGAATGATCATTGTTATTATACAGAGTGTCCGGAAAAGTCATGTCGTAAATTATACAGGGCTGATAAAGTGAGCCCAAATAATGCTCCGTTCCATACGTAAACGGCTTCACAGTGAATATGTTTTATACAGGATAGGACAAAAATATTCCGTTCGAAGAAGTCGTTTTTGATTATTATTAGCTTCCACTGTTTGATTCCTCCATCTTATTCCTTCTACAAAAATAGTAAACCTATTTAAAAATAGAAAACTATCTGATGTTAAGTTTAATCAGTATTCTTCATAATCTTCCCCATTATACAGGGTGTTCCGTTGAAAAACGGAATACTTCAACGGTGGAGGTGACCAAGGTGGTTCTGAATATACTATATATGTTGGGTCTAACATGTTTTATTATCGAGATATAGGGTGTTTTATCAATTCTTGGTAGACGTGTTTTCCCACTGCTACCCCAGCGACATGTATATCCGTCAGAAAAATAATCCAGGCCCGGATTACAAAAAATTCAACATATTATTGGGTCTTCGAAAAAACACCCTGTATGTTTGAATGTACAAAATTTGCTAACATATCTGAAGAGAGCACACAATGTTGAATGGATTCGTGTACTTTTTATGTTTCCGCATGCTACTACTGAATTTCTGAAGCTGCTATGAAGGATTCGTGAATTTCAATAGCTAAAAACGGATTATAATTATAGTAAAATACCTAGGGGAATAAATAGGAAAATCATCGAAAGACTTCAATAAACAGCAAAATACCTTCGCAAACCGCATGTCAATACCACATTCAAGATTATGAATGTTCTGGAGAATTAGGCATTTTCTTTGAACATTATAGGGATTCCATTTCGTGCGCTCCAAGCGATAAAAAAAAATTAATCGGATTATAATGGGTTATTATATATAATTGGTTATAAATTGCCTGAAATAATTTATTATTCATTCATTAAGAAAGCGTTTCAGTCGATTTTGATGTACTTATTGATTTATAGTCGTTCAATCATGAAATCTACTATGTTATTGTACTTGATCCAATTTTTCCCAGAAAAAATAATTAGGTACCTACTTATAGAGAAAATAAAACTTGAAATCTTAACAACCTATACATCCTCCTGTCTACTTGTTGATGAATATATAGATAAATAGATAAATTAGAAATTCTTGATCATTCAAAGATAATCAAAACCATGGAGAGATAATGTTTCTTCAAATTCCTCCCACTGATAACAGGTACTTCAAAAATGGTGCACTTATCCCACTATGAGTATAAATAGGAAAATATAATTTTCTGAGAGTACCTATCATAATCGACCCTGCCATGAATCGTTTAATGTTAATTGCCGTCACTTTGGCCGCCATCTTGGCACCTTCATTTTGTGCTTCTGAACCTGCTGGCACTTGTACTCCAGATAACTGTAAAATCGAGGATAATTGCAGATGTTCCAGTGGTTCTGGACCATTTGAAGGAGACCTCACCGAGTATCCGCAGGTAAAAATATACTTTTTTATTTCTGGCATTGCAATTTAGTGTACCATACCATAATATACCGGGAGACAACGAAATCATCGGCCAGGGAGACATTCAGTTTTTATTTATGTTAGGCTTTTGCCATTTCGATTGAGGATTCATAGTTCCTTAAGACCCATATTTTCTATGAATAAACAATAGAATATCACTTCCGGTTTTACTGGAAATATAGACCAAGGCCAAGAATTTTGAACGGAACCCTGTATATAGATATTTTACGCCGTTCGATGTAACAAAAAATTCCTTTTCTAATGACATATCACAAGGAAACATTTGTTTTTGATATGGAGGGGCTGGAAAAATTTTGTACTAAAATGAATATGACGACATCGATCGAATTGCTGTCAAGCTACCTAATAAAATGGCATAATTATATAAACGATGAAGCACTTTCATATGGAATATATGATGATATCTGATATAAATATGTCTGGTACCAACATTCATTCCCACCAAGAAAACTATATCTATGCTCGTATTACCATAAGAATCTATGCCATAAGCAAAACTCTCTAATGGAAAAAACCCGGTTTCTTGTTGCGTACGGAAATCTACTTTACATCATAACAGCTTCTCATGATCTACAAACCACAGATACGGCCAGTTTTAGAATACTGTTCTCAATCCAGAGAAGAGCCATTCGCCTGGTGGGTGATGCCACACTCACCAACTCTTTGACCCCATTTTGGAACACCGTTGAAAAGTCGGCGACCTTCCACTTTTCTATACTTCCACCGGAAAGGTTCCTCACAAATATCTGGCTATAATTTCATCACTGGCAATACCAGTCAGACGAACTCGGCAGGCCCAGTCAGCACATCTCTTCGTCGTTAACCTTGAAATATGTCGAAGAACACTCTATCAAAACTCGTTCGTCTATACTCTATAGAACGACTTTGGAATTCTTTGCCAAGTATTCCCAAGAACTCATAACTTCTAAAAGTAAGGAAAAAATTTCAACACCTACCCCCTCTCCCTGTCCTCTTTAGGTACGTGCGATGTTGCACGAACATTATAGGAATTTCCTTTCGTGCGCTCCAGAAGAAAAAAAAAGTTATTGATGAAACATACGACATTTTTTATTCATCCCCAATTTTCTTCAAAATTGTGAATAAGAAAAAGTATTTCTTCAAATCAACATCAAAGTATAAGGCAGTACCTATCTAGAGATGGATGCTTGACACGCCTCTTGGAGACAAAGAATGAGATTAGAAAGGATTACTAAAAGCAACCCTAATTGTCGATGATTCTATATTTTCGAATGTTTCATTAAAAATTCTGGACTGATTTTTAGTTGTTTTTTCAAGGAAAATATGTTTTTCCAGGAACAAATAACTTCGATCTGAATGTTAAAAATCTAACATATACAACAACTGAATGACGCTCTTGCAATAATTTTGTTCTTATACTGAATCGAAACTATACCGGGTATTTTTCAAAAGTGGCACACATCTATAACTTTTTTGTTGCTACGGATAAACAAATGAAATTCGGTGTGTGAGTGTAGTACATGAATATGCATTATTCGACGCATTCAATTGTTTTCTGCCCCGGGACAACCGGTATATTTTCACTTATTTCGATAGAGAATCACATTGTGAGTACAATGACACCCCACTAGTCACTTTGTGAAATTTTTTGTCATCCTGAAATCTTCATTCTTCAATTTTCGATCTAGAGTGCCATGAATGAGTTGAAATTAACAGTTGATTCTGAATCGAGTTGCAAATAAAAAATTGTCACAATCAAGTTTTACTTTCCATTTCCTTCACAGGTTCATCCAAAATTCACAATACTGTAATTATGTTGTTAACAAAATTTTTTCAAATGGAACAAGGGTAGTTGATTACCATATCTGGAAAGGGTATTTTGTTACAAACACGTTGATAACATATAATCGATATTTTCAATCAATATCCAGTATCATCATCTGCCTAAAAGCTCTAATGGTTTATTGTGATGAAGCGTCAACGTAAATAATGAAACAAAATCAAGAATGCTTTGGAAAGTAATATTAAACAATTTTTATTATGGCATTTGCGCGCAGCCATATGAACTTATTGGTTTTGGCAAAACATCTCAAGAAACACTATTTTTTATTGTCAATTCGTTATTACGAATTGTGAAATAATGAATTAGAGGCGAAATGAAAGAAATTTACACGCTATCAATCAAATTGTCAAAAAGTGTAAAAAGTGTGAGTAAAAATATACCGGGTGTCCCATTTGAGATGAGAAAATAAGGGTCGTTTCCGGTCAAACCGGAAGTGACGGAAAACAACTGAATATGCTAATAATGCATATTTATGTACTATACTTACACACCGAATATTCCATTTGTTTGTCTACAGAAACAAAAAAGTTATAGAGGTGGGCCACTTTTGGAAACCATCAGATATAACCAGCACTGGGTATAAGTATAGGTACCTACCCATGCATAGTAATGTATTATGTTTATGTTGACACAGAGCTGTGTCAAGTTCAATTTCTAAAGCATTATGTTACTTGAAAATGTCATTAATGTGCATTTTTTGATGATTCGTGAGCACAATTTGAATATACACCGCTGTAATGATAAAAAGTTATTGTAGCGTATGTGTGAACACACTAACTAGCCATTGGCCTTACGAGAGATCAGTGTTATTTCTAAAAAACTTCATAATATAGCTATTCACGAGGTTTATCCTTCCATTAAGAATAATAATCAGAATTATAGAACTTCAACCTATTTTGGATCATCAACTGAAAAATTAGCTTCATTTCTACATAAACAGGACTTGAAAGTAGCATATAAAACAAATGACACGTTGGGAAGGTTTATCAAGAATAATGAAGACAAAACTTTTGAATTCGAAATATCAGGGGTATAAAAAGTCAACTGTGGATATTGTCCTAAGGTATATATCGGTCAGACAGGTCGTACGACTAATCAGCGCATTCATGAAAATAAGATAAATAATTTGAAGAAGAAAACAAATTCAACATACGCGAACCACTCGAGAACGGTGCTTCCTATCGAAGTTGAAAAGGCCTCAAAGTTACATAATTTCATGCTGAAGTTGCAAAAAAAACACACTAAAAAAAGTTGGGGTGATTTTACCCCACACCCTCCACAGTTTGACCCATTTCTGGATGAAATTTCAAAATTATTATCATCGCATATTATTAGGCATAAAAAGATTGGCCGATTTGAAGAATTTCATAATTCTGCTATCAACAGTTTTGAAGATATAAAATAAAAACCATCTTCAAGGTATCACCTTCAAGGGGCTGTAGCTCGCTTATGAGACATTGTTTGACCTATTTTCATAGGAGCTTTTTCTCATATTTTCAATCGGTTAATCTGCTAGTGAAGTGTTGCACGCTAATTATGGGACACCCTGTATTTCTGAAGTTCCCAATCGTATTTCAACACATGGAAACTGTGCTATGCACGAAATCGTAGTGTCAGTTTTCACTCGCGGTGAATTCGTTTGAAAATTACTGTGGCATTATTGATGATCTTATCACCTTAAAACTGACTGAAGAATTCTAGGAAAAAAATATGAAAATAGAAGGTATTTGAGCTATGATTCTATTTAAGAAATAAAAAAAATAGTCTGCTCGCCTATTGACACTTCCTGAAATTGAATCGACGCTTCCTGAAATACAATTGGTATAAGTACTAGTGAGGTGGAAAGACTAAATAACCTCTTGCATTTTCAGCTGGTTACTTTGGCATTTGACGAAGCTGTGACCGATGATATTTACGGTTTGTGGAATGACCTCCTCCTTTCACGGTCAAATCCTGATGGAAACCCTATTGGAGCCACATTTTTCGTACCACATGAATACACCAACTACCAAAGAGTAAACGATCTCTACAATCTTGGATTCGAAATTGCCGTCCACTCAGTAAGGTAAGTTTTAAAACGTCAAGAATAGGCTGACATTGTGATATACTACTACAATCGTAATTTTTTGCATTTTATAATTTTTCTTAACAAAAATGCATCATCTTGATTAAAAATGCGTACCTCCATTGTATGACCTTCGTTCCGAGAAATTACAAAACCATTTCGAGGTCAGACACCAGACATCCTCATGACAAAGTAACACTCCATTGTTTCACTAGTAACACAGAGAAAATTATGTTTCATCCACTGAAGACTAAGTCATTCTCCATTCCATCATTCAGTATGTCTTGTTTGTATCACTTTGTATATACTTCTTCAGAATTTTCTGTGTTCGAATACAATCACATATCCGACGACTATACATACAACGTTGATTCTTCGAAAAAGAATTCCAACTTCCAATTTCATTCAATTAATCATTATAGCTGTAATTGTAGCGAATTTATTCCTTGATGCTTTTCATGGTATTTTATAATGATACTTTTTAAATATTATTTACAGCAAAAATCCTCTTCAGTCGTATTGGCGTACAGCCAGCGAGTCCCTTCTCGAGCAAGAATTCGGAGGGCAGAAACAGATCATTTCGAAGTTCGCCAATATTCCAGAAGACCACATATTGGGCGTGAGAACTCCCCAACTTCAATTCGCAGGAAACGACTCAATCTTGGCTTACAGGTATAGGAATGAGAAACAATTTCATTGAAAAACAATTAGGGACCAATTTCATGATCGATTGTCGGCTGACAGAGTGCAACTGATGAGTCTTGGCAAGACGAAACAGACTGTCTTGCATCAGCTGACAATAGATGAACGAAAATTCCTCCCAGAATATCTTATCTACATACGGGTGTCATTTGTAATTGATGACTGAAAATATTGATTGAGATAACTTAGCCCATTTTGAGAAAAAAAGTTCATATGAACCTATTCCCCAAAACTCTTAATTTTCGAACTATAGAATGTTGACTATACTTGTCGAAATGAGACAGCAACGTTTTCGATCAAATATCACTATTTTTGATACGAAATAGGGCACTAGCCTACTAGATTAAATTGATTTCGTTATACCACAAATGTATGAAAATAAATTTCATTTTTTTGTCGGTAGGAAAAAATTCAGAGAATTAAATTGTTGCAAAATAATAGAGGGATTTCAAAAATGGATTTCATTCTCGGAAAAATCAAGAGCGTACACCATTTTTTAAAATACATTCCATACGGACGCCACTGGTAAGAATATTTAAAAATCCCCTGCATCAAAAACTGCCTATAGGTGCTTAGTAGGTGTATTTGTAGTTTTGTTAATAGTGATATGGAGCTTCTTCTAGTGCAATCAATAATAATAATAATAAACGCCTTTTTATTGTCATATGTGGTGTACATGAAAAAAAAATCTTACATAGACTGTTGGCAAAGTCTAGCTCAAAGTTATTCCACTCAACCAACAGAGGGCTACATGCCCAGAAAAAATGCAAAATGGCTTTAGCAAATTGGCTGAGAGAGCAAGGAGGGTAATCAACAACAAAAAATATAACAAAAACAAAATTATAAAATAATGAAATGCAATACATAATACATAATACATAATGGGTGCCTACTTATTCATTACTATAACATTACGAATAATAGAGTTTCAAATGATAATAAATCTAGGACATGAAGAATGCACTAAAAATAATATAAAGACTGCCTATCGAGTAGATGCTTCTTCAATTTATATTTGAACTTATTCATATTATAAATTTTGAATTCGTCAGGTGAAATATTATACGTTTGAATAGTATTGAAGACAAATTAGACAAATTAGATTCTAAATGATATTTTCAGTGGCGTCACAGTGGGTAAATGTATCGATATTCATGGTGAATGTCATTGTACCGTGTGTCCAGTTTTCGATGCTTTTGTGGGATATCTCAGTTATCTTTGGAGATAGAACCTTGCGGGTTTCGCGGTCGTGTGCCACTTTTTTGTGAAAGTCAAGATGGCCTAATCAGATTTTGCATAACTGTTTCCGTTTATGAGATACAGGGCGATTTTGAAAATTTATACTTTTTGGACCCCCTCTATATCTACGAAGTTTCTCAGCAAAAATGTCAAATTAAAATCTCATCCCATATAAAAGTTCACGCAGAATCCAGTGGCGCACTCAAATTTTTTTTTCGGGGTATGGTTTTGGAGATACGACTCAAACTTATGATTTTTTGAATGGAACACCCTGTATTTTATAAGCTCATAAAATTCCTCATTTTTTTCAATGCTCTGAAGTCACTGAAACATTGAATTTTAATAGTGGGCTATGGATTTTTCTTATAAAAAAGTTCCAATTGAAGGAATATTCATTTTGATTTTTCCATAAAGAGGACAAAAACAATACCAACACTAATTAACTAAGAAAACACAAAAATTATATACCTGATAGCAACAAAATAAATAGTAATAAAAATTTCATAATGTAGAATAAGCACCAGATCAAATATTTCCAAATACAATTGAATTTCGAAATTATTCAATAACTTATTCACTGAATTGTTCAAATTGATGTCCGTTTCCCATAACACACAATTGACACAGTTTCTCAATACGTCTTGATACAGTAAGAATCACAAATATCTTGAAGAACTTCGTGCAACAACAGAGGCAGTTTTCCAGGAATCACAAAGACATCCTTTAATGTTTTTGAATGCATTAAGACGTATTGAGAAAGCGTGTGAGGGAAAGTTGACATCAATTTGAACAATTCAATGAATAAGTTACTATTCAATTGTCTTAGTGAATATTAAATCAGGTGCTAATTCTAGAATATGAACTTTTTATTACCATTCATTTGTTGTTATCAGGTACCTTATTTTGTGTTATCTTAATTAACTAGTGTTGGGATTGTTTTTGTCCTTTTCTTGGAAGAATCAAATGAAATATCCCTTCAATTGGAACTTTTTTAAAAAAAATCCATATTAAAATTCAATGTTTTAGTGATTTTGGAGCATTTTTGAAAATTTTATATCTATTCATCATATTTCATTTTTATGGGAAAAAATGAGGAATTTAATGAGCTTATAAAATACAGGGTGTTCCATTTAAAAAGTCATAAGTTCGAGTCGTATCTCCGAAACCATACCCAGAAAAAAAAATTGAGTGCGCCACTGAATTTTGCGCAAAATTCTGTATGGGATAAGATTCCAATTTGACATGTTCGCTGGGAAACTTCGTAGATATAGAGGGGGTCCAAAAAGTATAAATTTTCAAAATCGCCCTGTATCTCATAAACGCAAACAGTTATGCAAAATCTGATCAGGCCATCTTGAGTTTCACAGAAAAGTGGTACAGGACCGCGAAAACCGCAAGGTTCTATCTCGGAAGATAACTGAGATATCACGAAAAAGCATCGAAAACTGGACACACTGTACACCACCCAAGTTTCATATTTTTATCAGATTGAACTATTGAAATAACAAATTTTTTATCCTCTGTATGATATGTATAGAGCTTAGTTTTTGAGGAAACAATAAAAATTCATAGGTGTTTTCAACACTTCCATTGAGATTACTCAATTACCCCAATTAGAATCATTTTGAAATTCTGGGGCTTACCGTTACCACCGATAAAAAACGGGCTTACTCAGTCTCCATCCATACTGAATTTTGGCACTATGAAAGCTTATACAGGAGGGTTATGAATAAAAATTATTAATACTTCCAACTTCAACATCCTGTATCTCAAAAACGGAGCAAGTTAGGAGACATGTTTGTATGAACTCCATTTGCTCGCGTATCACTTGGAAACACCTTTTGAATTTTTTCGGTGTTATTAAGATACACCCTGTAAAGTTATCTTCTCGAAATGAGCTGAGGAACCATATTCTCTATTCTCTGTCATCAATCAAATTACACCATGTATAGTTTTGAGATCCTAGGTTTCTCCTGATCCCGAGATGTTGATGTGGAATCTTTTCTATCACTTTCAGGGCTGCAAATCTTACTTATGACAGTTCCTGGCCCACATTGCCCTCCAAGCCGCTATTTCCCTACACCTTGGATTACCTTTCCACGCAAGAGTGCAACCTGGGTGGCTCCTGTCCGAACGAAGCCTTCCCTGGCTTCTGGGTACTTCCCATTCTGGATTTGCACTCTGCTGACGGTGGGTGGTGCAACACCCTGTCTTCATGCAACGTCACGTGAGTAGGAGCTTAATATAACACTTGAGCCTATGACCGAGCTATGAGAAGTGCACAAAAAAACTCCAGGATTGTAACTTCTGGATTATTTTAGATAGGCTTTTGAAAATTGGTGGGTAACAAGTATGCCAAATCGCTCATTAATTGATGAAACAATTTTCCTCTTATTACTTTCAGTTTCACCGGAAACGACCCCAACTTCTGATTTTTTAATGGGACAACCATAATCGGTTAGGAAGTATCATGACGAATTCAACGATACCGGGTTTGATAGGGTTATTTCAAACAATTACAAAGATATTTGCGTTCGAATTTTCCATATGCTCAATGGGTGTATCTTCGCAATATCAAAACTTCTTCCTCTGTCACACTCATTGAGCATATGGAAACTTAGAACGCGAATATCTGCGTAATCGTTTGCAATCCCTAACCGATTATGGAATACAATACAGAGTGGTTCAGGAAAGCGTGACTACCTGCAGGTAGGCGATTTCATTCGGCTATACGAATGGGCGTGTACACCTTAGTAGAACTCAAACCATGTTTATAATGGTCCTTCTGTACATAAATAATGATTGACGACATAGTTCGATTGAAAAATTAACTGGAATGTTTTATTTTTGGACATAAATAATAGACCTTCTGAAAACGGACCCTCTTATGACGTAGAAACCTCATCGCCATAGTCAAACAAAAGAAAATACCAAACGCCCGACGGAGACTGAGACAACTGATAAATTAATTCTTTCAACTGTGATCTCGCGCCAATTCACTCTGTCAGAAATCATGTATCATTCATCTATGTCTGGAATAGTCTTGTTTCAGTATTAGGGTTTTGACGTCACATCATCGCCTCGTTTTCAGAGGTCCGAAAAATCGGGGATTTCAATAATTTTTTATAAAACGTAGGGAGCACACAGCAAGAAACGGTTTGCGGTGGTGAACTAGTTTGGGTGAGTTCTATCGAATTATGAAATGAAAAATTTTTGCGATATAAGCCCATTATTGCATAGATTACGCGAGGATGTAATTCAATGTTCTGCGTGGCATATAGGCAGGAAAGTAGTTGTTTTTCTCTCGTTATCTACCATTTTCGGTCATTTTATGAACTATTTTCTCTCTCTTTGTGACCATTGCATTCCACTTTGAGTATTTGGCTTTTTCCTAGTTTAACATTTTGTAGTTTCAAACAGATGTTTAGGTACGCATGTATCTTTTGGACGTTCTAATTTTTACATCTCATGGAATATCCTTGCAAGGTTATGATTGGGATATGATGGACCGTATTTTTTTTTTTTCAGTGGATCTGTAGATGACATCGCCAACTGGCTCTGCAATGAAATAGATATCGTGAGGAACAGCACCAGAGCCCCGCTAACTCTTTCAGTCAATTCCTACTGGTTCAATTTTACGGAGAACAGTTTGGCAGGACTCACCAAGTGCCTGGATACCCTTCAGGAATCTAAAGACGTATTCCTTGTCACACAAAAACAGGTGAGAACAAAAGTTGATGATCATTAAAAAAAAATCTTCATTATTTTGATATGAAATAAAAATACAATGCATATCAAGTTACTACAGAATATATTGCAAAATAAAACCACACTGGAATTGTTGAAACAACCGGATTTTCAGAGCGTCGTTCTCACTTTGTGATAGAATTTTATTAGATAATTTCAAGGTAAATGAGATAGACTGAAGAAATATACAGGATGTAGTCTACATAAAAAAAGTTGCTGCAACTGACAGAATTCATCACAATTGCAGTAGATTAATGAGTATCAGGATGTGATTTCATTAGCGGTGAACGTCTTCACAGAGGACTTATATTGAATATTTGTCGAAATTTAAAAGAATTCTCTTGTCGGAATGAGCTAAATTTTTATCAAAACCGTGGAAAATGCTTGGAATCCAGGGCAGTTATAATAACCTGCCATTTCTTTCAAGATCGACACAATCAAACGTGGTTGCCTCAAAATGTGGTTTGAAATACAATATTTTCACTGCGTACTTGTAGGAGAAACACGTTTGACATTCTTGACTTCTCTTACGTACATTAAAGGATGAGCTATTAGAATTTTACAAGGATTTAAGATTTTCAAAATTAGGTGCTTCCATATTAGCAAACTTTGAAAGTTTTTGACCAAGTTGCTGCCATTCCCAGGGCGCCATCACTTTCAAAAATGGGGTTCGTTTTCGTTTGCGTATGACCACGTAGCAGACATTTGTGATCAAACTTTTTTTATATCTGGATACTGTTATAAGTTCCAAAAATATGCCATTATCATAATCATGTTACGGTTTTGCGATTGGGAGTTAGGAGGCCAGATAATAATCTCTTTTACGCTCTCACTTAAGGTCTCTGCCCATTTGAGAATGCCCAGAAGTCATTTGATTTGCCCCACGTCCTGACACATAATACATGCATTGAAAACTGTATTATGTCCTTACATACAAATTCTCTATCACAATATCAACTTCATAATACTCCCTTGCTCGGAAAAACTGTATTTTGTCCACACATGTCAAGTTTCTTCAACAATATTAATTCAATATAATACTCTTTTGCTCGGAAAAGGTTCATGATATAATACTGTTTAACCTTGGCTAACTCAGAAAGTATATTTTATAGTACTCAATACTATATTCCATGTGAAAAAGCGAGTGTCTTCTAGCAGGAAGAGAACTTGATACCAATTTGAGAAAAAATGGCATTAATATACAGTTTGGATCTCAGGTACAGATATGATTTTCGATAGATTCAGAAAAGTTAGTTATATACATCATTCTCAGGAAGCCAAATTTTGACATAACTTCTTCTGATGAACATATCGGGTGGTCACAAGAGAACCGGGAGTCATCTTGTAGCTAAAGGGTGATATTTGAAAATTCCATAATAATTGAAAAAAACAAAATGGTTGAGTATCTCGAACATTTATTTTGTGATTTACAGAAACCGCTGTCGAATAAGAAAATTAGAATTTCTCCAACCTGTACTGATTTTATTTTAGACTATTCATTTTTGAAGAGAATCAGTACTCGAACATCGAACAGATAGTCCAGATCACTTTTTCGCAGGTTGTTATGGAGTGAACGTGCTAATCTCGTAATAACGATTGTTATTATTTTGCTCCTGGCTTTATCAAACTTAATTTTTTTTTCAAATGTACTGATTACGGAGATGCTAATATATTCTATGTTGTGTATTTATCAACACACTTTTATTATGTTAGTTTCAACTTTTTTTTGGTTTGGCTATCTATAATTATGATTAAACAGTTTGATGATACCGATAAGAATTAAATCCAAAATATGGCGCCTTCAAGATAGCGGACGATTTTGTATTTTTTATCTGATTCGTCGTAACAATGTACATCGAGTGATTTTTCAAATTTGAGATTATCAATTTTCAGTCGTAATGTGGAAAACAAAGATAGATTGGAAAAAGTCAATAAAATGCACAAACATTGAAAAAGTACAGAACAAAAGCAGAGTCTCTACATTTTTCAGTTAGATTAAACTTTACAATATGTTATAATTTACATAATAATAATTGGGTTGATTATTCTAATATTTTCAGGTAATTGAATGGGTCAGTAACCCCGTTAAGATAGAAGATTTCAAAACAGACGATGCAGAAGATCAACAGACCAATTGCAACCAGTACAACTGTCTCTTGGATAAGGGTGGAGAAAAAAGGTACATGAAGGCTTGTGCACCATGCCCGGCTGTTTATCCATGGTTGGGAAATCCAAATGGAGATAAGCCATGATGTGTAATCAATATTCTTTGAATAAAATCCGATTATATCAAAATTAAATTTTTTTTATATGTATACGCTGCCTTAGAGACCTACCAATATAGCTAAAATATCTTGGAATTTGTTTTGAAATTATTCTCAGCAGATCTAGTAGCATAGTAGGTATCCTGCGCATGATGTATGTTTGAGTCCATAATTCTCATTCTCATTATCTTTGAGCAACTTTCGATATCTCGGGAACTCAAATTTACTCTATTTCTATAATGATTATTCTAGGAGGATAGCAAACAAACTAGGTACAGATGAGAATGCGATAAAATATTGAAATTTCTCAAAAAATTGTGTTCTCCATGGTTTTAATGTTGTTCAAACTGCTAGTTAAAGTTGATTTTCTAAGGTGATCTCTGTTTATTGAATTATACCGGGTGTCCCAGTATACCTATTCCAATAGATTGTCTCAGCCATTTCGAAAGATGAAAATTTGAAAATTACATGATCTACTACAATTCTAATAATTTGAAATTATTATTGAAGTCAAATTTTTGTTTTTCCCAGTTGAAGCTTCTTGAACGAATTGGAGATCATGGAATTTCCGAATTTTTATTTTTCGAAATGGCTGAGATAATTCATTGGAATAGGTATACTGGGACACCCGGTATATCAATAGAAACATGGAATCAACAACCAATCACAAGCCAGAGACAACGTGAGCTTATCGCGAAAACATGAGCTGTCTTTCAATTCTGGTTGGTCTATCAGCGTTAATGTTTTCAACGATGTAACCATGGATAGCGAAGCAAAGTCTGGATGTAACCTTGGAGAGCGAAGCAAAGTCTGTCAGTTTGGCATAAAATAATTATGGCTGTACTCGTCAGAATGAATCAGTCATTTATAATGAATGCTCTTTATTCAGAACAAGGTGATATTACTTATGATAACAGGTATCTTTATTCTTTTTAATCTATCAAAGATAATGTGGCATCCATCTGATATGTCAAATCAACCTGATATTGTCAAATTACCTAATCTCTTGATGAATGAGTTATTTTCAATCCTTGAATTTGTTTATCAGTCATTCCTTGCGATAATTGAAGACTGTTTTAAATTGATATTATATACCTACTTAATATATAGGTACTTGAAGATTCGCATAAAACAAAATAGATACAACAATCTCAGTAATATTTTATTCTAACTAATAAGTTTATAATTTTTTTTGTGAATCATAAATTTAACATATAAATATAGGAACTGACTTATCATCATAATTCTAAAACGAGTTAACAACATAATACTTGGATATTGCGGTGAATCTGAGGCCACAGAGAGAAAAATACATCCTTGATCTCTTTATTTACATAATTGCATCAGGTTGATATAGTTTTTTCATGATAGCTCAGAGAAAGTATCGAACCAATTCTACTTTTTCTTAATACTTTTACACACTACAATTATCATATATGCGAATACGTACACAGTGGCTTCAGTATAAATAAGTATTTTCACCAAAATTCTCATTTCAAATTATAGGAGTTTGTCAAGGAAATCGAAATGGTATTTGTCATGAATGAAAGAAAAATATAGTGCAAACTGAAACAATTTCGACCTCATATGCCCTAGTACCACAACAAACTCTATTTCGATTGGAGTTATTAGGAATAATAATATGTCCTGACAGGATTTTAAACATTATCTATTCGGAAATAAGGGTCTCTATTTTATGGGATAAATTCAGTATGGTAGGGCCAACATTTCATGAAGAGAAAACAATAATATTTTCAATTTCATGAAAAATATTATTCCACTGTTGAAAGTCCCTGCCTTGTTCACAGAAACTTCGTACAAAAAACCTCGTGAAGCAAAATTTCCTCCATTTGACACCAGATTGAACCCACATTACAGACTCTATGAAAAAACTCTGAAGGAATGAGAATCTAACATTAGGCTTATTTTTTGACTAACATTTACTCCATTCCACGTGACGCAATGTTTCCTCCATTCAATCCAAGAATAAGGGTATAATTGAAACTTCATCAAGGTACCCTATAGAAATGGAAAGCTGACAGTAGACTCATTCTAGTCCATTTTAGTCCTATCCACATAAATACCATTTTTCTTCAACTTCCTATACAAAGATATATACTTCCCAGCAGAAGTAGTCCGAGGAATGATAAACTCCTCGCAGAAATGTGTCCTACTTTTAGCTGCTCTGCTGAGGCTACCATAACCCAAATCTACCAAAAACTTCAGAACGAAAGAATAGCAGTTGTGCGAGTTTTCTCTGTAGTCTTCAGGGGACCAGCAGTCTTCGGCGCAGACACTCCTCAAAGTGGCGTCCCAGTGGTCCCTCCAAGGTCCGGGGGCTCGATCCAAGAGGAGGCACTGCCCCCATTGGAGACTGGCGTGGTGCCTCAGGCCGTTCTTGTCGAATTCCACGATTGTGCCTTTGGACGTGGTCACTCCCACGTGGAGGTCTTTGGAGTTGAAATAGTCACTAGAAGAAATATTTGGTTATTCACCTCAAATGTCCCCTCCCCCTCTAGCCCAGTTATTTTTGAACCGATCCCAACATTTGGAGGATCAATCCACTGAAATTTTCGATACTCAATATTTAAATATGTCTTTCAAAGTATATGTGCCCAGCTGAACAATAAGATTTTTGAATAAGTTTCATAGTCAAACGAGTAACGACTTCGTGTCTTTTTTCTTTCACGAAATTGCTATTAAGTATACAGAGTGATTAACCATATATGTCCCCTCTATCTAACTCATTCATTTTTGAACCGATTTCAAAATTTGTGAAAACATATGAAATGATTTTTTATTTGATTATTCTTTCTGCTACATCAGAAAATAGAGGGTGCTCGTAACAAACGATCTACTGGGTACTAGTTGTTTTTTTAATGGAACACTCTGTATTTCTTTGCATTTTTTCATCCTTCCTGAAGAGCTGATTCCATCAATAGCTCATACACTTGGAGTCTAGCGGGAATTATTACAGAGATATAAGGTGTTCAAAATCGAGATATTCCAACTTTAGGATTTTTTTGTGTTCTATTCATTATTGGTCATGTCCATGTCTCAACTTCCGATTGACTATCTAATGACATTTAATAATTGGAACAGATACAGGGTGATCAGAATTCTGAATTTTGAACCACCCTGTATTTATTCGAGTAAAGGCCACTCAACAGGTCAAAAACCCAATAATAGAGTAGCACAGATTACAAAAATAAACATTAGTTACAAGTTGTCGTGGAAAGGAAAGAAGTGAAAAAAAAGACAATGGTCTATATAAGAAACAAAAAATGATCTCCTTAAAATATCTCAAAACATATGTACATGCAGTATTGAGACAATAGAGGTGTAATCTATAAGGTACATATTATATTTTTCATGAACTTATTAATAGATAATTTTTTTCAGAAATCTCTTGGAATGACTAAGGTTTTGCGAGAATATATCAATATTACTTGATTCTATATAGTTAGAATTCAGAACGTAATTTGTTCCTGAAAAAACTTCACAAACGATAAGATTTCCACAAAATTGTCAATCACATGCACGACATGTTTCGCTAACACAGTAGCTTCATCAGGTTAAAAACTGGTACAATGAAATAAACTACCCAGCGAGCACAAACATCCCTGGGATGTTTTGGGATGTTTTGAAAATGTTGGCATGAAGATGTTATTTTGAGACGTAATATGCACTTACCAAAGAGGTCTTTGAAGGATATTGAAGTATTGTTTTTGTTCTTCTGTGGCATTTCTTTGTTTGCCTACTGAGAGGTTTCCCTGGGATGTTTTGGGATGTTTTAGAAATGTAGGCATGAGGATGTTTTTTTGAGGTGTAATATGCACTTCCCAAACAGGTCTTAGAAGGATATTGAAAGTATTGTTTTTGTTCTTTTGTGCCCTTTCTTTGTTTGCCCCACCACAACGTCTCATGCTTACGTCACAATACGATGAATTCTGATTTGTTTTCGATTTTGTTCTTCTTGTTCGCAATTGGCATTCGCGTTTGCTGCGTGTCACGCTTACATCACGCTGCTAACGAACAGAAAGGAATTTTGTGAAGTTTATTGTGTTAGAATACTTATTTAGTTTGCAATAATGACCATCAGATGCAAGATGTGTTGTTCGGTGCCTCAGTGTAATCAATATATAAAAGTACGAATTCATCAATACACAGCTTCTCCGCAGTTGCAAAATTATGCATTGTGGAGAACATTTCAAAAATTGGGAAACCTATCTCCAATTATATGTCTGTGTGTAGTAAGCACTACTCAGAAACCGATTAAGAAGGTAATTTCATATCAAGAAAATATTTTTATGTTCAATCTATTTTCAATGCATTTTTTCATTCAAGGGAAATGGAATCCTAATGCAAAAGTTCATTTTGACAAAAGGCTTCAGAAAAGTACCTGGAAAATTGTTTTTTACAGCGATTTAATGTGCGCAAGACTTGTTGATAATGTTCTGTTGTGTCCATGAAAAGGCTTTAAAAAGAACTAGGGAGGAGGTAGTTTTGTGACATATCAAGGACATCTCGATAATTGCCGCCTGCGACAGAACATCGCAGTGGAGGTTCAATGTCTCGAAATCTCGTACTTTTAACATCTCTGAGATGTTTTTGTGCTCGCTGGGATGCATAATGGAAGGGTGTAAGTTATTTTGGTTATAATTTTGTCCTGTACGACTTATTCAACTCAGTCCATATACAATATGTGCATAGAATATTTGGGGATTTGGTTATGGAGATACTTACTTCATGAAATCACCAGTAGTTGGTTTAATCACAACAGCACAGGGGTACTGAGATGCCTGGACAAAGGGGTAAGGAACTCTGAAAAATAAAAATATGTATAGGTACTGACACATTCTTCTGGTGTAGAATTCTTCACCTAAATGGCAATAGTGAAAAATTGGCGTTGTCCAATGCTTTTTCACATACTGGGCAGGAATCTGGCAGAGAAAAACAAAAGATCTTGGGTCCACAGTGTTGGAAACATATGATGCCAGGATCCATGGTAGGTAATTTCTGATATTTTAAACTGACGAACAAAAAAAAATTAAAGATCAATATCGATACAATAGTTAAGTATTTTAGCATTATTATTATTGGACTCGCGTTTCCTTCGTCGGATTCATTTCTCAATTTTCAGTAGAACTGGTTATATATTGGTATACAGAGTGTTGGTAAAAGTTGGTAAATCATCCTTGATTCTGCTCTGCCTCATCAATGATTGGACAATTTTGATTTTATGACAAATTTTGCTCTTAATAAACTTTGAGCTGAATCATTGATACTTCGATGACAATTATAATTATAGAAACATATTTATTATTCGAGTGGTTTCGTTGGCTTATGAAACATTTCAACTACTGCTGTTGTATTTCGAAGATATGAGATATTTCAGTTGATAACTTAATATTAAAGTGCATTAGAATAAGGCATAGTAATAATAACCTAGAAACCTGATCAGGTGTTGTAGCGGAAAATTTCGCAATATAGATTTTTTTCACTCACTTATGTCTGGTATGGAAAGATTACCACTATTTCACCGGTCCACATCACAACTGACCTCATACCTAGTTCACCGTATCTAAGAACTCGTGCCGAAAAACAAACGTTCGTTTCATGAGAATCTCTAAAAGGTATATTCTCTGTCCAGTGATCTATGAAATATTTACAGTACACCTGTTCGTTTTGTTTGTGTTGCTAGTTATTTCACCTTCGCTTAGCAACATGAGGCTATACCTAAACCAACTGAGAACTAAACATGAAAACAAGGTGAAATGAATGAACTACCTACCTACCAATTGCCAACGATGCCAAACCATACCTCTTTCCATAACAAAACTCGTAGCTGTGCTCGTAACAAAAGAGTACCACCTGTTAACCTCTATTACTCTATTCCTTACACGTTCACAGGGTGATACAGAATTTTGTACGTCAATTCCGAGAGGTACTAGGGACTAGGGAAAACAAAATAAGAGGACTTTCCTTAATCAAAATACCTTCAAAAGTTCGACTATTAATTGCTCAAATTCGTCACTGAGGAAATATAGAGGTGATCTAGATTTTAGCACACTGTCTTTGAGTGTGTGTCTGCTGTCTACAGTCCATTCCAAAAAAAAACAGGAATCTACAGGCGCCTATAACAGGGGTTACATAATTTCTTTAGAAATAAGAGTACGCCACTGGACTAGTAGATATTTTTGAGAAAATCTACTGAATTATTTGAAGAACTCAGAAAAAATATTTTCAACCAAACCTTCTTTCAAACCACATTATAAGTACCCCTATATATGTTATGAGTAATTTTATAGGTATAATAACCTACTGAGGTAGGCAACTCTGTTTACCATTCAAACGTTCTCACCACAACACGCAGCGGTCAAGCATCTTTTGTACCAGTTTAATACACAGTATGTTTTGTTTACCCGTTACCATGGTTTTCCGGTGACGAACTCCATTTCCTATTCAAGGGTGAGGGTATCGAAAAAAGTATTGTGGCAGTGGAGCAAGTGGAAAAAAATAAAAGTTCAGTTTTCAAATGAATGTGTGAAGTTTTTGGAGAACTGTGAAAAGAAAATTTTGCTGTAATTACTCATTTTCTTTGATATTGTAATCATGTGGATAACTGGGGTGAGTCAAATCAATAATCAGAGATAGCTGTGATATCCACGTGTTACAAGCAAATTAACCGAGAAATGAACTCGAACCAATGACTATAAAGAAAAATACGTACACAATATGTATCCAGGGTGCCAGTTTATCTCAGCCAGGTTTGAACGAATAAGTAGTGAAATAACTGAGTAGCTCCTCTCCATTCACATGTTTGATTTGAGAAAAAGTTTGGAAATCATTGGACAGGACTGATACTTGGTTACCAGATTCAAATCCACTAGACTTCTCCTTAAACTCAAATTCGATATACTCAGAACCTGTTAATATTATGAAGAGAATGATGATCATAGTCGATATAAGATTTCCGTTTCATGAAAATCCCTGAATCCCTTTCATCTTGTAAAGCTTCTTTATGTGCCTTGATGTTAGAATCAAATATCCAATTTCGTCTATTGGATAAAAGTGACAATCCTATAAAAGCTCGCATTTTTTAAGTGGAACCATCAATTCTGAAATCAATAATCATAATGTCACTTTTCATAAATTACTTTCTTTCCGTGGGAAAAAAGTGAATACTTTTTTCCCGGATATATATCATATAAATATATACACTGTTGATGGCTTTTGTTGTGCTATAGTTTCGAAAAATGAGTCAATAAATAATACCGTCTACAAGTCCTTGTATCTTCCATTCGACTTCGCGGTTACGTATATTACTAAACAACCACTAAATTCGCAATTTTTTGGAATCAAATCACAGAATTAGACTGACAGATATTCGATTATTCAAAATAATGTAATATCTTCTCAATATTGATTCGTCCTTTCTTCTGTCACAGAAAGAAATAGTGTATTATACAATACAACCTGGAGCTAAAATCTTCTACTTTTTTTCCTTGTATAATAAATAACTATTTTCTCACAGAAAATTCCCCTATGATGCAATATGATCAAAAAATGGGAATCCAGCGATGGCTGATCATCTTCGTCCTTCAATTTTTGCTACATTTACCAACTACAAGAACAGGCTTCGCCTGCGTGAACAACCCCTGCATCCATGGGGTATGCCTAGATGACCTAAATTCCACATATTTCTGTTACTGTATCGATGGATACACGGGAATACAGTGCCAGACCAATTGGAATGAGTGTTGGTCATCTCCCTGTAGAAATGGCGGAGTCTGCTTGGACGGTATAGCAACATTCGAATGCACCTGTCCAGCTGGTTATACAGGTAAACTATCAACTGCAGGCAATAATCTGGCTACATTATGATAAATGCATGTTTTCCATAGGTAGGTCATGTGAGGAGGACATCAACGAATGTGAAAGCAATCCATGCCAAAACAATGGGACCTGCATAGATGCACAAAATGGTTACACTTGCAACTGCCTTCCTGGATATTCAGGAACTTACTGCGAGATAGATATAGCCGTCTGCAATTCCACAAACGAAACCAGATGCTTCAATGGAGGAATGTGTGAGGAGGGACCAGGTGATTCTTTCTGGTGTCAGTGCCCACAAGGTAAATACTGGGTTGTGCCTCAAGGGTCCGATCGAGAACCATTATCATTCAATCTTTGAATTATATTGTGATATCTGTTCGTAGGTTGGGGTGGTTTTTTGTGTGACACAGAACTAGATGAATGTGCATCTTCTCCCTGTCAAAACGGTGCAGTTTGTATAGATTTACATGCTGAGTATTCATGTGCATGTCTTTTTGGTGAGTATCATACTGATACGAGGCATCACAATTCAACTGGGATCATTTCGTAGGATATACTGGTCAGAACTGCGAAGAAGTTATGCAAATTTGTGATTCCAATCCTTGTAGAAACGGAGCTTTATGCATAATAGAAGAAAATCGCTCAGTATGTTACTGTGTCCCCGATTTCCATGGAGATCTCTGCCAATTCCAGTACGACGAATGCCAACTGGGACCGAAGTGTATGAACGGTGGTACCTGCATAGACGGCATTGACAACTCCACTTGTTCTTGTCCTCCAAATTTAACCGGTGTACTCTGTGAGTGCCTCATACTAGAAGACGGTACCTTGGATTGCACTTATGTCAGTTCCAGGCCAACCGGAGTACCAACGAGTTCAATTTATTATGAAAATTATACAATTCCAATAACTTCTCCTTCTACAGTTAAATCTACTGAAACAACTGAAGTGCCAACAACGATACATTCGCTGTTTAATGAAACAATTACTAGTTCTTTCGTAACAAGTACCGATATCAGTTCACCTATTTCGAGTACATCGTTCATGACCTTAGAAGAATCCACAATATTCGTAACAGCTCATGCAATACCCTCAACTGTATCTCAAACATCTACTGATATTTCTTCCTACGTTACGACTCCCTCCATCACTACAACTAGTCTAATTTTCGAAAATTCAACTATCACTTCTGAAGAATTGAAACCAACCACTCAAGAATTCCCAACAACTTATGAGGTAATCGAACTGACTAGTCTAGATTCGAAAACAACATCAGAAAAAACATTCACAACTGCGTCGATAACCATGTCTCCAGAAGAACCTATTACCTCAGTTGTCAGTACCGAATATACTTCTACATACTCCACATCACCAGAAGAACCACTTCACCAAAATATGTCTTCATCTACCAAAGAATCATCGAGTAGTACTCTTTCCATAGATTACACAACCCCTGCAGTCCTTTCTAGTACTTCCTCCATAGAAACAGTTGCAAGTGGAATTACCTTGGTCACTACTTCACAAGAGGGGAGATCTAGTAACGATACCCTTCCAGAAGAGACAACTACTTCAATTCACAGGTTTTTCACCACTGAGCCTACGAAGAAAATGGAACCTAGCATTATGACTTCCACAATTTTACCAACATTTGATTCAACTACTATGGAAACAACTGAAGAAACAACTACTTGGACCAGTATAGATTGTACCAAATATGAAACAAAGTGCCAAAATGGAGGTACCTGTGTATTTTTAGAATCTGGATACAAGGTAAGAATCCACTTCAACAATATACGAACTTGTATGTATTATTTCGCCTGTTGCAGTGTATTTGTCATTTTGACCATGAAGGTCCTTATTGTGAGGTCAAACTTGGAATTCGTCATGCAGCTTTCAATGGAAATTCATTCTTGTCTCATCATGTACTCACAAGTTCCTATCACATCGCTATAGAATTTGAAGCTAAAACAATGGCAAACGATGGCTTATTATTTTATTGCAACATAGACTCGCCACATATAGCACTTTACATGGAGAGTGGATACCTGAAGTTCAGGTTCTCTTGTGGATACCAAACAATGTTGCTCAGTGAGCTTAAGATACCAGTAAACAATGGTTTCAGTATGAATATCAAGGCAGGGTAAGATAATGTCCATAAATTCAGATAGTTCCTCCTCCTATATTCGAGGAATTCCAGATTGGACTTTTCCAAAGATTTCAACCACTGCAATGCTTCCATCAGAGTCAATGATAGCTTATCAATGACTGGAGACCAGGTTGCTAAGATTGACAGGCTCCATCACCCTTCAACTTGGTTACACTTAGGTGGACTACCCCTAGATCTCTCCAATGATGTCTCTTACCCTGTTGGGGGATTGTTCGGATGTATTTCAAATCTGAAGGTAGGAATATACCGGAACCTGAGGTAGTTTTGGTATATCAGATCACATATTTTTTTTTTCAGATTGATAATCACAGGGTACGAATTTACGATGATGCTGAAGATGGGAATGCCATCATGGAGTGTTCTTCTTTAGCTTGTCTATCAAATCCTTGCAGTAATGGTGGTTCGTGTAGTTCCATGGGAGATAAATGGCAATGCCACTGTAGAAATGGGTATCTTGGAAAAACTTGTCACATATCGATATGTGATGATAATCCATGTCTGTATGGTGGAACTTGTATACCATTCACCAATAGTGGCTACATCTGTCTGTGTCCTTACGGTAAACATGGACATTTTTGCGAGAACGGTAGGATCTCTTTACCAAAGCTAGCTCGAAAAAATCATGAAATATTTTTGCAGATTTAAAAGTTACTGAGCCAAATTTTTCATCAACCATTCGAGGTTTGTCTTCTTTTGTGGCTTATCCCTTTCCAGATGGAATTTCCAAGAACATGGAACTGACGTTCAGGTTCATTCCCACCACTATGGAACAAATCGCTCTGCTCTTATTCATTGGTCAAGCTGGGCATCATGATTTTTACTCTGACCACATCGCTGTCAGTTTCGTCAAAGGGTATATCATGCTCACATGGAATTTAGGATCTGGTAGGATGATTGTTTCCTTCAATCTGCTCATTGCACAACTATGCATTTTTCAGGTCCGAGAAGAATTTTTACAGCACAGCCGATAAAGAAGAAATCTGCAAGTTACTTGGTCAAACTGGGACACACTGGTCGCAGAGCTTGGCTGTACGTCGAAAATGTGGGAAATGTAACAGGAAGAACTCCTGGAACTTTGATCCAGTTGGACGTTGTCCCTCTTCTTTACATCGGTGGTCACGAATCCAAGAATTTTTCTACACTACCTCACGACCTACCTCTTCACACAGGCTTTTCAGGTTGCATTTTCGAAATCGAAATGAAATCTGGAAGCGTTGTGATACCTTTTCAGGGCAATATGAAATCTTTCGGGAGATCTGTTGGACAATGTGGTACGAGTGAGTGCTACGAACGAAGTTGTCAAAATGGGGGAGCATGTCTCCATCATGGTAGTACCTTCATGTAAGGATGAGAATTCGTGTAAATCCAAAACTAGCGAGATTTATTGTTTTCAGGTGTCTCTGCCAGGATGATTGGTATAGCCCTTTATGCTCGTCGAATCATAATTTGTGTGATAGTAACTACACGAAATGCTCTGACGATTCTAGATGTGTGCCGCTGTTATCGAATTATGAATGTGACTGTCCTTTAGGCAAAACTGGAAACTATTGCAGAGAAGGTATCATAATATTGTGTTATATCAATTCCTTTCAGACCATAATGACAAGTTTTTGTAGTTGAGAATATTACTGATGTGAGCCTCACTGGAAAGCGATCATATTTTGCATTGAAACCTATTGAGTTTGATGATTCTAAATTCCATATAGAATTTGACATTCGTGTACTCAAAGATCGGGGTGTGGTTCTGTTTATAGGAAGAAAGGACACTAATTTTATCTCAGTATCGCTGTTGAATCAGATGATAGAAATTAGAATACGTTCTGGTAATGAGCAAATGTAATATAATACAGCTATTTGAACTATGGAAGTTTGTAGGTGGAACTAAAATGAATGGTCCGAAGATAATTTCAGTTAGGAGTTCCAAGCTTTTGGTGAAGGCTTTCTGGCACAAAGTGAAGTTTGGAATATATGGCAGAAAAACCTACATCTCTGTGGATAATATAATCAACACTGGGATATTGGATGTGGGACACGTACTCACCATTTCGAAGGAGACGGTATTTTTTGGTGGTCTTCCTGATTTATCCGATCTACCTCTTTCGGCAACTTCAAGCTTATCAGAACCTTTCCAAGGATGTCTGAAACACTTGAGCATTGATGGAAAATCAGTTCGTCTGGATTCTTCAAGTATAAAAGAATCTAGGAATATGGGAGACTGTGCTGGTACCCCTTGTGGAGGTGAAGCTTGTCAAAATGGAGGTACTTGTTGGCTAGATTCGTTCATGCAACCACATTGTTCGTGTGTATCACCATTTTATGGCGAAAAATGCGAAGAGGTTGCTATTTGTGATGCGAAGTCTTGCAAAAATCGCGGTAAATGCCTGAACAACAAATGTACCTGCCAAGTTGGGTATGCAGGAGCATTTTGCGAAAGCCAGATAGTTGTCAAGACTCCCCAGTTTGGAGGGAAGAGTTACCTTAGAGTCAAGAGAGGATCTGATAGGAAAAGAAATCTGAAAGATAATGGCATTACTAGTATACAATTGAACTTCACCACAGCAAGTCCGAATGGGTTACTTCTTTGGAATGATAATAAGGTATAGCTTGGCACACACTATGAGCTTTGAGTAATAATGAACATACTTCTGTTGCAGGGTAACAATACTTTTGGTTTAGGACTAGAAAATGGTTTCCTTAAACTAGCATTAACTATTGGAAAATCAAAGCAGACGATTGTAGAGGTTCCTTCGTATGTTCAATTGGCAGATGGTTTATGGCACCACGTTGAGATCATGTTAGACCCTTTTGTGTTGAAAATAGATGGTAAAGATTTCCTGGTATATTCGAAGTTTGAGAAAACAACGAGAGTGAAGCTTATTGGTGATTTTTTTATTGGTGGCATGCCTGCGAATTCCAGTTTGATATTGGTGACAAATGGTTTGTTTCCACAAGCCTTTGAAGGATGTATCAGTGGATTTGGAACTAATGTGGAATACATGAGTGATTTTAGTCTTCAAGAAGGCTCCAATATCACAAGATGCGATTTTTTAGCCGCTTAGACATATTATAGATGAATAATTTTACGAATTGTTGACCAAAGAATAGAAATACTTAACACGTTCTAGTCATTTTTACTGTTATATTGTAATGTCGTGTGATTTCGAGTGTTTTTCAATTGTTTTTCATGCTCAATACTGCCATTTATCTGCCTGTTTTTGTCTGTTTGAATAAAGTCGGTTTGTGAAACCAACAACATTGTTTCACTATAATTCATCCTGGTATTCATTTTTGTTATAATTAGGTGATTTCATGTTCATTAGGGATCATTATTTCCTATACATCAGTTTTCGACAGCATTGTAATCCTAGAGGATTCAACAGTGGCCTGATAGATAGGATAATGTATATAGCACACGTAGCATATTCCATCACCTGTGACACATACAATACGTTGTATTAGGGAGTTTATATGCATACCTGGCGAATCTATTTTGTTGTACTGTACGCAGTTGCTATGGTGACTGATGGAAATCTCGACGATAATTCGCATGTCCCAATTCAACCATCAATACCACAATTAACGCAATTCCATGTGATAATTATTGTAAGAATAAAAAACTAGTGAAGGACAAGGCAAGATGAAATAAGTCATCTGAACATCTCGAAAGAAAGCAACCCAGCAACACATATTTCTTGTGTCTTGCATGTGAAGTAAAATTTCCACTTCCCTGAATATGTCCTTAAATATCTGACATATATGTTTTTGAAGTAAAATTGTATAATTGTACCAGTTTGTAACGAGTTTGTTCTTATAATGATAATTGAATGAATGTAACAAAATGATATATGTGAGATGAATTCCATATAATGGAAGCTATATATACGAAATTGATTGTCGGCAGCCATATTGATAACTTCGTTATTATTGGAGATATATACAAAATTGCTCACATCACCAAACTATCAGTATAATAGGTATTTCTGACTAGAAAAAAATTCATCATCAGATACAAAAACTTTATACTCAAGTGTTTATCATTCTTCCATCATAGAGTGCTTTGAAAATACTGAATGATAATATGAACAATGTTTGTGTATTCAATTATAACAAAGTTACCTATAGTGGACACTCAATTTGAATAACCCTGTATAATTAGGTTAGTTGTACTTATACGTACTCGTTTGTAGTGCTTCATGCTTTTGATTGTTTTCAGTACTTAGTCCTATGGAAATAGATATCATGGTTTCTAGCACGAAAATCAATAGAAACAATTTCAGACATCTTCAGCAATGAAGTGAGAACTGAATTAAAATGAATTTGAAATTATTTGAAATTCAAGTTTTGATGCATCACTGTGAAAATATTATATATTATGTTAATAGAGATAAAATATTGAAGATTTCGGAATGATCCAGTATTTCTAGCACCAAAATGAAAGAATATGTACTTCAGTGGTAATGATAGTTGAGTTGAGTGGTAAATCACCTATATACTCATATATGCTTTTCAACTGATTGAGATAGCATTCTTGACACACCATAATGGTTTAATATAATGTCTAGGTGTAACTTCAACCACACTATTGATAGGTACTCCTCATTGAAAAATACACTTGAAGGGTAGTGGAGTGGAATGTTTGATGACCCAAAAGTCTTCTGTCGAAGAAATTTTCCCTTTTTTCTTCTGGACTTTCCAACCCGTCCAAACTGTTCCTGAATGAGAAAACCATTACTTTCAACATCCATTTGAGAATTTTTTCAGGGTCAGGGTCAGCTGTTATGGAACGGCTGATGGTATACTCACACAGGTAAAGTGACATTGGAAATTGCACATGAAAGTGTCATGGAATGATCGATGACCTAGAACTTTTCCAAATTGTTCCTAAAAGACACAGATAAAACATCATTCAAAATCCAATTGAGAATCTTCTTCAGATTCAGCTGTCTTCGAGCAGCTGGTACTTTAGATATAAAAATGCACAAATTGCACATTAGCAGTGTGGTCATATGTAGAAGATAGATCATGTAAACACAGTTATAATAAGGAAAAATCATTTTCATTTGTGCTCACACCCTCGGTGATTCCACCTCTGTCTTCTATTCAACTGGCGAACACATTTTTTAAATATTTCAATTTCACTTTCAACAATCCATAATGAAAACAATTATACACTATTCGAATTTTGTATCTGAAAAAATCTGTGGGCCAAAGCATGTCAAGGCACAATATAACCTTCATAGAAAACTAACCTGAATATGTCTTCTAATCTCAAAATATAAACTCCTATAATTTTCCAATATAGTGATCAACCATCGAGTACCAAATCATACAGAACAGCACGTTGCACAGATATACATTTATTGGTGGATTGGAAATAATCTTGAACAGTTTCAAGACATAAGTAAAATATGCGATTTTAATTCATTTACCATACATGCAAAGTTCATAACTGATTCTTTATTTTTCATGGCATTTGAGGTATCATGATACGTATATGTTTCCTGTTATGTAACCACCTGAACAAGAAAATATATTGCATGACATGTAACAGCTCTGTAGCAGATATGTTGCATGGTGATTCTTTTCTCGGAACACTGATGAGCTCCATTTGCCATATTGCAGACATAATTATGTATGTTTGCTGGGAATTTACGCGTGTTATTCGAATAAAAAATTGAATTTATCTGAATGAACTATGTCGACTTTATCATATTTAGGTCATTTGAAATGATACTCTTACGGTAGAACTGGAATGATAAATGCCCTTAATGTATACTTTCCTTAGAGAAACAAGTGATTAGTGGAACTATAGTGGTATATTTTCCTGGTAATTTCAAGGGTAGTGGGTATTACAGAAGATAAGGCTGAATTTAAAAAGGCCACAATAAGCTCGCATTCATGTATATTTCGCTGAAATACCGGAAATGGAATTTTTGATATACGGATACATGTTAAAAGGGAGAATCCTGTACAAAAATTGTGCCGTATCTTTTTTATTCGTTATTATAAGTTCGCGGTGTATGCCACGCAATCAGTTTTGGAGAAAAATAATCTAATATCACGTTTGAACTCGTTCTGTAATGCATAGGAACATTCTCGCCAGAGTGGCTCTGGCTTTTTGCATTTTCCGGGGTGAAATGTTCTATTAACGAAATTACACAACCATTTTCTGGATGATTTATAATGAAAGTTCACGAGATCAACTGAAACTCCCATATGAATCGAAAATATCTGGAGGCCTGGACACGAAATAGTCTCATGGACTCATCAAATTTGTTTTCTTACTCAGCTAGATAGCTCTAAAGATCGCCAAAAATGTAATTCTTTGAGATTTATCAGAAATACTGACATTATTGATTCATAGTTCCAAGATTCTCGGAATATTTTGAGGATACAAATTAACTTTATCATTGTTGAAAATCAGCCATCTTGAGGATGTTGTTTCCGTTGAGATATGATCTTTAAAAATGTATGGCGTTACGGCGTTACAGATATCAATCATTTCAGATAATTAAATAATGCGAATGAACATATCTATGGCCTAATCAGAAATATATCTGGCCTAATCATAAATATATCTGATGATTTCAGATATAAATCTCACACCTCAATTCAAGAAAGATACGGTTTATCCTCAAGAGTAAGATAAAGATTTTTTGTACTTTGTATACCCTTATGAAGACCTTCAACAAAATGTCCTTTATGTAATTATCAAAATTTTAGGTGCGTTTTTCGAGAAGTCTCCAAGTAGGTTGGCGAATTTTTCTTCCATCTAACAGCTAGATTGATCAACTTTGAGCATAGGTAGGTTTTGTTTCTAATTTAGGCCCAAGAATCTAAACAGCTCAATCATTTCCTAGTGAAATTTGGACACATTGTATGCTTGATGATGTTGAAATTCCCCACATATTCGCCAGTAGGTACATTACTAAATATTCAGAAATGGCTACCAGAAACAACTTGGAGTAATAACTTCAGAACATGTCCACCAAAGTTACAATTCCAACATTTCCGCTTACGAATAACTTCATGTGCTTCCCATAAATTTTTATTCAGCCCGTAAAATGCTGGCCAAAGATTTCCGACATTTTTATAGACCGCTCAGAACGATGACATTTCAATCTGCATAGAGCGTATTGCGTTCCTGAAAATAAAATCATGACACGGTAGAAGGAGACGCCAAAATATCGAATGGAAGAAGGTCGGCAATATTGTAAGAAATTTGGAACAAGTGGACGTTACTGTCCCATAAAGGAAAGATGTCACACAATCGATTGGGCAAAGAAACACACCACATTGTTATTTGGACCAGTGGCGGAATACTGAGAAAGACATTGTTTAATACTCGATATTTATTAGGAATGATTATAATAATAAATCAATATTGAGTTATTACATCGACAACTTTATTTCAACTGACATAAACATCAATGTCCTAACATCTGTCCTCTTGGAAAGCTATTTAACCAACAGAAAACAAATCGTGACAGTGGATGGTATACTTAGTGACGAAGAATATGTTGAATATGGTGTTCCCCAAGGAACCATTTCAGGTCCCATTCTATTCAATATAGGCTCCGTGGCCGAGTTTGTCTATGCGCTGAAATTCGCTAGATAGCCGTTCACGATGCAGAGGTACTGTCGGTTCGAATCCGGCTATCGGCTGAGCATTTTTCTTTGAAATGTGTGATTCATGGTTGTAATCCTGGCAGCACCTCGATGCCCTAGAAGTGGTTCGGATTCCACTATAAGCTGTAGGTCCCGCTCTTCCTAACCCCGCACAAGTTTCGACTTCTGGGGAGTTGGTTCCCAACTTTGACGTAGCAATATACAAAATAAAAAAAAAATTAAAAAAAATATATACGTAACCGGATTGTTCTCCTTGAGGAGCGGAGGTAAAATCATCGGATTCGCAGATGATACTGCTATTTTCTATAGGGGTGACAACTGGCAAAATTTGAAGATGAAAGCTGAGACTGGTTTCTGGACAGTGAAAAACTGGCTAGATCACAAACTACTTACCATTAATTTTTTACATTTTTCGTGCAACAAATCCAAT